CTATTTGGCAACCACCAATGCTTTTATCAATGGCTACTAAAATCACTGGATAAGAAAATTTAAAAACCTGCAAAACAGAATATTCCATATGATCTCAATTTATCACCCCCACAGATTAGTATATAAAAAAGGGAAAGTGTACTTTCAAAATATAGAAATCTGGCTAAACTAAGTGATCAAACTTAATCACTAATAATGGAATAAACCATCATGTTAATCCTAACATGATGAAATGGAAAGTTCAAAACATTACCCATGTAATAGAAAAAAAAAAACAACCCACAACTCTTCAATCTGAAACTAATTGTGAGGAAAAAAAATCACATAGTTTTGGGAGGCATTCTACCTGAAGACAAAAAAAGAAAGAAAAGGTAAAGACTGTTCTAAATAAAACAGACATTTAAGTACTAAATATAATTGATGTCTTTGATTGGATTCAGTATTTTTTTAATGCTATAATGACATTACTGGGATATTTGGGAAAATCTAATTGTTGAATATGGACTGTACATTAGACAGTATTATCATATCAAGGTTAAATTATTTGGATATGCTAACGGCATTATAGTTATGTAAGAGAATGTGCTAGTTCTTAGGAGATGCATGATGAATTATTTGAGGGTAAAGTCTCATGATGTTTCCACCTTACTTTCAAATAGTTGAGCAAGAAAGTGTGTGTGTGTGTGTGTGTGTGTGTGTGTGTGTGTGTCTGTGTGTATTTATATAGAAAGAGCACTTGTCTAACAGCAAGGAATGAGAGCAAAAGAGGTATGTTAACAACTAGTGAATCTAGGCAAAGGATATACAGGTATTTGTTGTACTACCATTTCAATGTTTTTATAGGCTGAAAGTAAAAAGAAAAAATGAGGAAAAAAGGTAGAAATTAGGTTGACTTTAGAGCAGCTGATCAGGCTTGATCATAACTACTCTTCACCCTATTCATGAGAGTTAAAAGTGAGTACGAAGTTCAAAAAGGTTTGGTTAAAAATAAAGGTAATAACCCTAACAAACAATAAGTAGTCACAAACTAATCGCCGTAAGTTTTCTATCACGGCTATAAACTACACATAATCTCATAAGAATTCTGTGAAAGATGATATGTGCTGGTTTATCTGGGACAATAGTGAATAAGCAAAACTATTTTATATATTTTCTCCAAATCTAAATACCAAACAAATTTTTTTCTCAAATCGAGTTTTATTAGTTACAAGGTATCCTAAAATTAAAATGGTGTCACAAGAGTCAAGATGATCTTGAACCCAGTATCACTATAATAATAATGATAATAAACATTTAAAATCTGTACTGATAATTTTATTAACCTATGTACATATATTATCTCATTTAATTTCCACAATTCTATAAGGCTGGTACTATTATTATCCTCATCTTACATATTAAAAAAAAATGTCTTGGAAAAGCTATATAACTTCTTTAAGGTCATACTGCTAGTATATAGCAAATAGAGACCGTGAATCCAGGCAGTCTAACACCAAAGTCTCTTTGCTCTATACTCTACACTCTACCACTTTACTATGAAATGTAATATTTAAATAAACTATAAGTCACTACTGTTTCAGTCCAATATCCATCAAAAATTACATGAATGAAGCATTTCAAAGAAAAATCAAAAGCATGTATTTTTTCACTAATGCACATTTATGTATGTACCAAATGAAGTTAGAATTTAACCAGACGCCAATTTACTGCCAAATCTCAAGTGAAAATAAAGATGATATATAACTGCATTATTCAGTTACCTATTCATATATATGGTTTAATATATTACAGGTAGATTCAAAATAGAGACCAACATATTTCCGGACGCTTTCATTTAGAACTCTACCCCTGCTCAATCAAGAAAAAATTGATACCAAAAAAACATATTTCAGGCGTGGTTATTACTCAAATATACAAAACTGAAACAATGACACAAAAGGGTAAAAAATAACTAAGAAATTAACCTTAAACACTGCTACAACAATAAAAAATACTAATAAAGCATGTTTCCCAAACCTGGTCCTCTGTGAATGGTGCAACAATCTTTCCAGTTACAAAAGCCAAAAGCCTATGATTAGCCAATGATATCTTCTTCTCCCTCACCTTCCGTATCTAATCCATCACCTAGTTCCACCTCCTGAACACCTCTGGAATCCATCCACTTCTCTCTCTTACCATTACCACCTTGTCCAAAAGATCATCTCTCAACTGGGCTACTCCAACAATCTCCTAACTGGTCTCTCCCCATTCCCACTCTTATCCCCTCTATCATCAGTTCATCCACTGTGTAACATCAAGTCCTTTTTTAACAGCATTTACCATAGTTGTAACTTTAAATTTCTTTGACTATTTAATTCCTGTCTGCCTCCTCTGTTAGATAATAAATTCTATGAGGATAAAGACCATATTTATTCACTACTATACCACTGTGGCCTATAAGAGTGCCTAGTTAATAAATAAATGCTAAATGACTGAATGTATGTCAAAGATTACAATTTATAAATAGTCCGAAAAATAAAAGTAAAGTGCTTTATTTATTTATTTATTTTTTTTTAAGACGGGGTTTCACCACGTTGGTCAGGCTGGTCTTGAACTCCCGACCTAAGGTGGTCCACCCGCCTTGGCCTCCAAAGTGCTTGGATTACAGGTGTGAGCCACCACACCTGGCCATAAAGTGCTTTATAAGCTCATCAATTATTCTACATCACAGATTTTTATTTTTTTGTTTTTTTGAGACAGTGTCCTAATTTCTACCTACCAATCCCTAACCGCTATTTAAAGTCCGGATTAAATCTCATCTTCTTCATGAAACATTCCCTAGTTATCTCTTTTCTCACCTTTTAACATTCTAAATCACTCACATAAAATCGAATATATATTGACTATATTTTCTGCTTCTTGAAGGCAAAGTCTACATCTCATACATTCTGCCAGAGTATAAGCTCCCTAAGAGTGGGGATTTCTGTTTCTTGTTCATGGCTATATCCCCAGCAACTAGAATGGTGTCTGCTCAGTAAGCATGTATTGATTTAACGCTCTTTATATATTCCAGGATAGTGCACAAATCCTTGCAGCTGTTGTATGGTAGGAAGAGTCAAAAAGAACTAAATTCCTTAAATTCTTCAAGCTTCAGTATTTTATATGCTAAATGTAAATAATACTCAATAGTTTACTTAGTTGGTATGACTGAGCTAATGCTTTAAAAGCCTCTATGCAGAGCTGAGCACAAGAGGATACTCTTTTTTTTTTTAAAGGATACTCCTACAATAAAGGTTTTGGTGATTTAGGGACAATAATTAAATAGTAAGAAGTAGTCACTAAGTGCCTACTAAATGAACAAAATTGCAGGAAAAATATTAAAAGATTGAGTAATGTCTAGCTTATCATTTTTTCAATAAAAAATTATGAGTAAATTTATTCTGAAATATATTTAGCCCCAAATCTTAAGCATGGCTGAAACCATTTCAGCATTTTGTGCATTAATTAGGAATAATCCCAATTTAACATTGTACCAATATTAATATTTATACTTTACTGACATATGTAGAGCATATTTGATTGCTTAAAAAAGAATAATAATCTCAGTATAAGAACCTCTTTAGTGCAATAATCAGAAGAGAAAAGCTGCAAACTCATTTGAGTTACGTGGTTCCCCAGAAAGTCAGACAATTTCTGCCTTTTTATAAAACATTAGTGAACAGAATACAATGCTGTTCACCAGAACTATCAAAATATCTAGAAATACTTCATAACCAATGACCATAAATACATTTTTCCAAATACTTGCATCCTATTATAAAGAAAAAGAGCATTAATTAAATGGCTTTTAGTGTCTTTTTACTAAATTACACAATTCTTTAGATTGGCCACTTTTTGACATGCGATTCTAAAAATTTTACAGCGAATTAACTGATAATTCAATATAGTCTCAGATTATTGGACTAATTGGAAACTCTTCTCTGTACAGAGAAGAAGCTTTATCAATTTGAAACTCACAAAATACATAGACTTCACCTTTCAAAGCCTTTCCAATCCCTCTAGGTACTTTCAATGACTTAAAATCTAATTACAAGTCACAAGCAAACAAGAAGGAAAGATCATTACCTTGTCTCTTTCTGCCATCAACTGACACAAAATCATTGCCAAAAACCCACCGGGGACATACGGTCCAAGCAGGAAAACAGAAGAAAACTCCTAAGTAATTCGGATATAAAAAGATGTAAAACGAGGTATTTTCGAACTATAGGGTAGCAGTGAGCCACATGCGGGAAAATAATCAATACAAAGAAAAGGTAAGCCAAGGAAATCATAAGAAATATAAACTCAATAAACAGTCAGGCTGAGTTGACCGCTGAAGGTTCTTATATATAAATACAGTCACCATATGAAATAATTTATTCTACACCTCCAACTTCAAAAGCCCTTAGATGCGGGTGGTTTTGGGAGGGCTCAAAGTGAGCGGGAACCGAATCAAGTGAATGAACGTTAATATTTAGATGGAAAGGCATTAATATACGCAAGGTAGTGTGTTATGGCTTGAAACAGTAACAAACACCAAAAAGGGAGAAAGAGGCTAGGAATGGGAACAGAGAGATCGTGGGGATCCAGGTTTTTTTTCCTCCTTTTCTTATTTTTTAAACAAGGAGAAACAAGGCCGACAGAGAGAGCAGGGGGGTATGAGGAAGGATCAAATGGATGCTATAGATCAGGGGAAAAGATCTGGCCTGGAACATCTAAGAAAACCACGAGGAAAGGAGGAATAGCTGCCCACAGTTAGGCTTACGGTTTATCTCTGGAACCCACGACAGAGCGAGGAAGAGTCAGAAGACAAATGACACTAGAAAGGAGAGACAAGGGAGGCGCCAAAACCCTCAGAGAACCCAGCTGGTTGGCCACAGGATCTTCACTGAAGGCGGACCCCAAGAAACCTGGTCATTCGGGGACCAAAGGCACTAAGTCCCAACCTTCTCGACTCTCCTAGCCGCAAGCCGATCCCTCACCGAAACAGAAGAACTGGAGAACTGTAAAAATGTGCAGGAGCCACCAACCCGGGAAGTGCTCCAGCTCTAGCAGCAGCCACCACAAAAGCAGCCCGCACACACGCAGGCGCTCCAACCTCAGCGCTGCAGCTACAGGTACTTTGAGCATCCCGGCCACCGTAGTAAGAGGAACCGCCTCCCCTTCAAATCCATAGGATCAGCCACTTCCGGGATACGAAGGCCTTGCGATAGGCAGCAGCGATAGCGGTGGCGTAGCGGCCTCTACCACGTTTACTTTATCCGTCACTTTTTCCCACCTGTCCGCGCCTCCGTCGCGCTAATCCGCCAATCGAGCAAGCGCAAAACCAAGAGAAAGTTTCCATCCGTGAGCATTGTCTTCTCAGATAGACAAACTACATTACGGCTGCCATAAATTTCTGTTGAGCATTTGGACTTCAACTACCAGCAGGCCATGCGGCCCTTGCCTCTGGCGCAGGAACTGCAAGAACCAGCATGCATTGCGCCCTTCTTCCTCGCACCCCGGAGCAAGATAGACTCTAAGCCCCACTTTGATTTAAAAAAAATAAAAAGCCAGAATGCCTTCTTACCCTGTTGTGAAGGAGCTCTAAGCTAGACCATAGTCAGGACTTTAGGTTACTTATAAAACATCAAGGGATAGGTGCACTTATTTTCCATATTCAGATTATTTTGAAGCTATTATTACAGGACAGCCGAGCGCAATGGGTCGTGTATATAATCCCAGCACTTTGGGAGACCGAGGCGGGTGGATCGCTCGAGGTCAGGAGTTCGAGACCAACCTGGCCAACATGGTGAAAACCCGTCTCTATTAAAAAAGTACAAAAGTTACCCGGACTTGGCGGCGGGCGCCTGTAATTCCAGCTACTCAAGAGGCTGAGGCAGGAGACTCTCTTGAACCCGGCAGGCGAAAGTTGCAGTGAGCGACATCGCACCACTGTACTTTCAGCCTGGACGACAGAGGGAGGGTTTGTCAAAAAAAAAAAAAGGAGGTCTAAGGTCTAAAGATGCTTTTTATAAGGTGGAAATTTTTGGCCAGGCGCAGTGGTTCAGGCCTGTAATCCCAGCACTTTAAGAGGCCGAGGCGAGCGGGTCACTTGAGCACAGGAGTTTAAGACCAGCCAGGCCAACATGGTGAAACCTGGTCTTTACTAAAAGCACAAAAAATTAGCTGGGCATAGTGGCACGTGCCCGTAGTCTCAACTACTCAGAAGACTGAGGCAGGAGAATCCCTTGAACCCGGGAGGCGGAGGTTTAAGTGAGCCAAGATTGTGCCACTGCACTCCAGCCTGAGGGAGAGAGCGGGACCCCATCCAAAAAAGAAAAAAGAATAAAATAAAAATAAATCAAGTGGAAATGTGTATCTTCACTCCTAAATGATGTCGAGAGAAATACTAAGTTACTACAAAATGTAATCTCATGCAGTTTTACAGTACCGCAGATCTTGGAGCAAGGACTACCAGACATGTTTCTGAATTACATAGAAAATTATACTGAAAACTAGAAATAAAATATGAACAGTCTATACTACCGGACTATGAAACCACATGGGAATGAAAACCTTCAAGATTGAAGAGTTAAAAAGTTCAAAATTAAACTTGCAGTTTTTTCAGTTTAGTAATGTGTTTGGTGGTTTAAATTTTTTTTTTATTCTCACAAAAACAGGTAGCTGGATCTATTTATTTTTATTCATGCACGTGGACAGCCAAATAAAAAAACAAGGGGTATAAGATCGCAAATGGCACACCTATTAGAGTGAGCAAACAAAGCAGCTTTCTTATGTGATTCCATAGCCTGTGGTTTCATGTTTTGAAATCCCCAAACTCTGTTCTGATTTTTTTTTAGGAGAGAGAGAATCTAGATGCCTTTTTGTAACTTTCATAAAGACCTGGGTTGCAATAATGAATATATTTTATTTTTGGTGTTGTGGTTAACCGGCCATCAGAAACAATGCTTGGATTCTTAAAATAACTATATAAGTATACAAAAGTAAATTGTGTGTATACTACAGACTTGGGTTTCCTGTGGATTTACCACAACAAATTTTAATTGGTTAGAAAAAGGGAGCAGAGTATCTTTCCTTTTCTCAACTTCACACAGAAGTCACAGGAGGAAACTATATTCTCCAACACTGACATGGCATTAGCTATCATACAAACGGCTTTCCAACTCTAGCGCTTTAAATTATGCAGCGCTAGCAAGTAAATATTTAAAACCTATGATCATGGAAAATAATCTGCTGTTTTCCATGCTCATGCACAGAAACAATATGAATGCGGTGAGAGAGGACATTTCCACTGAAATGATTCAGAGGTAATGTTGATAAACTATAATTAGGTTATCTGATATTTATAGGTGTTTGCTGTAAACAAACACAAAATTGCATCCACTTATTAGTGATGTTATTAAGAAAGCTTTAAAAATATGCTAAATATTTGATGCACATATTTCTAAAGTCGTTTCAGTGATCAATTGTGTAAATGAACATGAGAGTTTAAAGAGTACATAATTTATGTAATAGACTTTATGTTTTTTAAAGAGATTCTTGCAGCTGCAGCACTCAGAACATTCTCTCCTCTAAATCTGTCTTTCACTTTCCAATTCAGCCAATTGCCAACCATGCAAGAGTTAAAACTGAAGAAACCATTCATTTTAGTTCAACAAAAATATGATGAGTGCTACTAAGGGCAAGGCACTCTGGGCACTATAAGCTGTTTATGAAACACTGATAGTTTTGAAAATCAGTTAAGATTTAAAAGGAAATTAAAAGCATACGTGAGCTTTATCAGAATAGAAAACAAAGTACAATACGTATAACACTGACGTTTAATAATCATTCACACATTTTGTTAATTGAAACTTATAATTGCTAATATACCTTCTTAAAGGCAGGAACTGCTTTTTAAACATCTGTGCCCTCCCAGCTCTATGCACTGTACTTTGTACAGAGTAACTGGCTCTAATAGGTGTTTGTGGAAGTTCACAGTGATGACTATGCCGGGTGCAGTGGCTCATGCCTGTAATCCCAGCACTTTGGGAGGCTGAGGCAGGCGGATCACTTGGGGTCCGGAGTTCGAGACCAGCGTGGACAACATGGTGAAACCCCGTCTCTACTAAAAATACAAGAAAAATTAGGCAGGTGTGGTGGCATGTTCCCTGTAATCCCAGCACTTTGGGAGGCCAAGGTGGGTGAATCATTCAAGGTCAGGAGTTTGAGACCAGCCTAACAACATGGTAAAACCCCATCTCTACTAAAAATATAAGAAAAATTGGCCAGGCATGGTGGCATGTTCCTGTAATCCCAGCTACTCAGGAGGCTGAGGCAGGAGAATCACTAGAACCCTGGAGGCAGAGGTTGCAGTGAGCCAAGATTACGCCACTGCTCCAGCCTGGGCAACAGAGCATGACTCTGCCTAAAAAAAAAAAAATTTCACAGTGATGACTGAAGCCCTGAAACTCCCTTCTCATTTATACTGTGTAGTTTTAATGTAAGCTGTTTCTAACTTGTGCTTTATACTTTTAATTAGTAATTCAGGTTGTATAATAAAATAACTATTAAAACCAGAATATTTAATTAATCAGAATGTCATATTCAATAATCATGAAAGCAACAATTTATACACACACATACTGCTTAGTATGTATGTGTGTACTTGTATATATTTGTGTGTGTGAGTGTACTTATATAAAACACATTTATAATATATAGGTAACATTTATCTTAAGTGTCAAGCCCTTTCTAAAATGTCATCGTATTCCGGGCATATACTTTGAAAGCATACCAGCCATTCTGATAGCATTGATTGTGATACAGCTCCAGATTTTTGTTAGGAAACTTTTATTTCTTAACTTCTATCAAGTGTATTTTTTATCCATCTCCTTCCTGGACCAGGAAAAGATGAAGATTCTATTAAATAAATGTATACCATAAATGCTTCATTCAGAATATTATGTTGAGCGACATTAAACTCGCCCTTGATGGAACAAATACCTTGTAGACTTCTAAAAGCTAAAAAATTATTTTAAAGAAAACTTGGTGAAAACCTTTCCTTTTCTCCAAGAAACCTTATTTCTCTCCCCTCTCTTTTATCTTCAACCTCTTTCTCTCAACTGTGCTCCCTTTACCTCAGCAAACAAACATGCACAGAATCACCATAATTATGAAAGCAATGTCAGTGGACTCAGCTTTCCTACTAAATGCAATCACTCCCAATGCCCCAGCTGGAGTGCCGTGGTACGACCACAGCTCACTGCAGCCGTGACTTCCCAAGCTCGGGTGATTCCCCCACCTTAGCCTCCTGACTACAGGTACACGCCAGCAAGCCTGGTTAATTGTTTGTATTTTTTGTAGAGATGGGGTTTCGCCATGTTGCCCAGGCTGGTCTCAAACTCCTGGGCTCAATATCCTCCTGCCTCAGCCTTGCAAAGTGCTGGGATTATGGGCATGAGCCACCGCACCCGGTCTGGTCTATTCTATCTTCTCTTTTCCCTTTCATAGCCATGCAGCATGAGATCTCTTCACAGCAACTAGCATTTACTAAACACCCACAACTATACTAGATCCTGGAAATATAGACAGAATTCAGTAAGGAGCTTATGGTCCCTCAATACAATGTTATGAATGTTACAATAGAAGTAAGGACAAGATGTTAAGAGAATGAAGAAGGTCAGTTACTCTCAAATTGAGTGAGGATCCTAGAGGAGAAAGTTCCCAAGATGATTTAAATGGCAAAAATAAGAATTAACTAGCCGTGGAAGAGGGAGGTTCAGCCAGTTTAGGACAACCCATAAATTCATCATACCTGGAACCTGAGAGTGGGGGTGAATAGTATGATATAAGTCAGGAGAGACAAACTGGAGCTATTTCACAAAAAGACTTTGTAGGCCAAGCACAGTGGCCATCGCCTGTAATCCAGCACTTTGGGAGGCCAAGGCGGGTGGATCACCTGATGTCAGGAATTTGAGACCAGCCTGGCCAACATGGTGAAACCCTGTCTCTACTAAAAATACAAAAATCAGCCGGGTGTGGTGGGGTGGGTGCTTGCAGTCCCAGTTACTCACGAGGTTGAGGCAGGAGAATTGCTTAAACCTGGGAGGGGAGGCTGCAGTGAGCCAAGATCACGCCACTGCACTCCAACCTGGGTGACAGAGTGAGACTCTGTCTCAAAAAAAAAAACAAAAACAAAGACTTTGTGTGTTATGATAAGGATCTTAGACTTTAGCCTAAATATGA